AAAAAAAAAAAAAAAAAAAAAAAAAAAAAAAAAACATAAATCACAAATATAATATTAAGAAACAAAAAAATTGTAAATTTGATAGCCTTTTTTTTTAAAGAGTAGTGAATGTAGGCCTACCTTTAAATTATTAAAATGAGGAAAATTTGGAAACATTGAAAAATCAATATTTTTTATGTTGTTAGCATTTTATTTTTATACTGTTTTTTTTTTTAACTAATTTTTTTATAAAAATATTTGGTTTAATGTGTACATTTGGGGAAAAGTGGGACCTATACTCTGAACAACATGTAATTTAACTAACTTTCCATCATTATGAAGGCCTATATTTTGAATTTCTATTTCTTTACATTATATGATCACCTTTTAAATAGGGCAGGGTGTTAATTGTATAATATAATCATGCTTAAAAAATATAGTTATCAGTATAAATTTTGCCATTTATAAACAATTTATACAAGTTTTCAGTAAGGTCTTTTCTAGAAATAGCAGTTTTTTCTCTTTTTCTTTCTGATATAACTTGGAAATATCTAGGAAGGTTATTAGTAAGCTTGCTTTTTATGACTGCCACCAATACACATTATTTCTAAATTTCTTTATTACTTAATGAGTTTATAGAAATAGTTTAAATGAACAACAACATTAATACTATTTAGTAAGTACTTAAAAAATAGTATTTTTATAAACACAACAAGGTCAAGAAACACCTAAATTCTGTTCTCTGATTAAGTGCAGAATGATGCAAAGCTAAATTTAGGTAAGTGCCAAAATGAGTCACTGCATTTCAATTGTGTCTTAAATTTCCTGGGGAAGGGCTTGATGACACCCCCCCCCTAATTGGCATGCTGACAGATGCCACATGCCCCCCCCCCCCCACGAGATCAAATGTTCTGAAAGAAACAATTGGCATGCTGACAGATGCCACATGCCCCCCCCCCCCACGAGATCAAATGTTCTGAAAGAAACAATGATGCCAAACTTCACCCCTTGATTTTCGCTCGGGTTATCCTGGTCGGCCAAGATTTTTGCAGCCTCTTGCCACAATAAAGACTCTGCAGTCTGCCGAAAATGAAACCCCTCCCATAAAATAAAAAATGGCCCATTCCCCAAGGCTGACCACCCATTCCATCCACCCTTCCTATGCCACTGCCCAATGGAACATCTGAAATGCAACCTCACCCCACTTTTGAGCCAATTGTCTGAAAGAAACACTGCAAGTTTGCAAGTTAATAACTTGTAAATCGAAATCTTGACATTTCCACTTATTTTACCATAGCCGCTATCTTGGTTACCATGATCCATGGGGGTCATGTTATGATCCCTGAGGTCATTCAATGACCTGTGAGGTTACTGCAACCAAGATGGCTGTCATGTATATAAAATAAAAAAAAAAAGCAAATGCAAACTGGGGAGGTGCTGTCTTAGCTACTTTTCTAGAGAAACGAAAATTGAAACAAAATGATAAAACTTAATTGTCTGCCCCTTTCCTAGCATAATTTTAGCTGGTACATTAATTTTGTGGTGAACATAGCAACTTTATTGTATTCCTCTAGATATGCAGCAAAAAGAGTCAGCAACCTGTGGTCGCTCCCTTCCCTCAACTAAAACACTTTAAAATTATGAAAACCCAACTTAAAGTTACATAGAATGCACTATTACACACTTTATTCCAGGTTCCACCTTTTCCGGTTGAATGTAGCAACTTTAGGACAATGTACGCTTGACTTTTTTTATACCGGGATGAGTGAGCTCTCCTTTTTTTATTCTTGGATTGTTCACTTTTCTTTTTTTATTATTATTAATACCCCCATGATAGAATGTTATAAATTAATATTTCATAATTATAATATTTAAAGCGAGGCTAAATTTTATAGCTCACGCATGTGTAAGTGTAAGCTGAGGGAGTCTGGTAATCACTTATTTTGGTGCGATAAATTATTTCTAGCGAAATAAATTTCAAAAGTCAATTTTACCAAATGGAACTATATTAAAATTATTTTTCAAAGTAAAATACCATCTTTTTGTTCAAATACATGTAAAAAATTGTACGAGATTTGAAAAAAGTACATTTAGTGAATCTTTTGTCATTCCAGGCACCATTGAGGTAAATCGAGGAAAACTCTTCAGTCTTCAACCATACATTATAAAAGTTGCCCAGTTGGATTTATTGAGATTTAACTAAAAGTTGTATTTATTTTATAACTTTATTAAATTATGTCTTGGTGTCAAAAATTTCTCTCTAAACCAATGGTGAGTTTAGTCAAGTTTAAATATTTAAGTACCGTTCTAGACATATTGGAATCTGTAGAGCCATCTGTGTAGGGAAGTGCAATCGTGGTGCTCGCCAGGGGCATCAATATCAGGGGGCGCATTTTCTATATGCTAGGGGCTGTAGTTTCAGGCTTATTTTCCGCCAACTGAAGAGCTTTTCTTTTTAAATTTAGTGGTAGTGGGTGGCACAACTCTCGACCCACACAGGTGGCACTAACCCTCACTAAGCCACTGAGGCTTTCTTTTTCACCCCAGCTGTTTCGGCAAGGCAAGATCATGTGCACCAGCCATGTCTCTGGTTTACACCTCGCAACATAAACCCTGGTCAGCTCATTACCAGGTCATGTGACACCTCAACCAACCCTTGTACATTGGTCGCTCTCTGATGTTGGAGGAATTCTATTAAGTAACCAAGTCTCACGCTTCGCATCTTTTGCCTGGGCCATGTTTCCCAGGTCAGCAGCTTGTCAAAGTCATTCTCTGAAATGTTGATGAAATGGATAAACACCAGCATAGCGGGAGCAACATAGTCTCCCCATGGCCTTGCCATATTTCTGTTTAGGAAGGTGCTGGCAGCGACGCAGTCACCTAGGCTTCCCCTTTGTATCAGTTTACAGTAGTACTGGTAAATTTAGTAGGCAGATTTCTGATTGTCAATTTTGCATAACTTTTGTGGTATGTGTCCGCTGTGGTGAAGGAACAAATGAACACAGGACAAGTAAACCCATGACAACTCACCGTATAAGACATCCGGACACAAGACAAGTGAACCAACAAACAAATGGGGAGCCCACCGGTCGACTGAACAAAAAATTATTATTATTTGCATTTTAGACTCAACCTGTGAGACTGAAACCGGTTTGGTAACTTTTCCATGAAATTTCCGGTCTTCGCTTTTTCTAGATTTTTTTATTCGGCATGCTCAGGAGTCAACTCTAATGACCGTGGGCAGTTCTGGAGTGCCCCCAAAGTCAAGCTGAAACAAGCTGGAATGAGTTGGGACTTTGCAGAATTTTTGGGCGGTCACCAACGTGACTAGGGTCTAGGTTAGTGCCCTATTTCTCGTGACGAAAAAAAAACAAAAAATGTATGGTAAGTTAAAAAATGTTCTCCCAAAAACTGGTTTGCACAGTGGTTGTCTCCAATGTTAACAGTTTTGGGTCTGGTATGCACAGTGCTTGTCTCTGATGCTTGTTGCCAGCTGTGTGTGTATCCCCAAAACAGATAGACATGAGTTTGGACTAGGCCATGGAACTTAGTCGTTCGGCAAATTTGTCCATAGGTTCAAATGGCTATATGGTAACTTGTACCTGTAGTCACTTGTCTGTCTGGTCACTTGTCTTCTGTGCATTCACTTGTCAGTGGGTTCACTTGTCCTGCATTCAGTTGTCTTAGAAGCATTCATTGCATTCGTCGGAAATCATTTTCTAATCTCCCCCACAGGGACATCAGGCATTTTGCGACCCACCTCCCCCCCCCCCCCCCCCC